TTTTAAAAAAATATAATTTCCTTAAGCAATAAGAATGACAAACATTTTCTTCTTTCCTTTCATTATTAAATATTAACCATCTGCTTGGTTTCTATTTCTGAGCTCCACATATTCCTGGGAAAAGAGTTCCACACCCAAAGTGTTCATTAAAGATTCCAAGTCAATACTCTAATTAGTTAAACCTTTGTAGAAGGCCAGGTATCACTATTTGTCATCAGTGACTCCTTTCCTGTATAAGGCAGAAAACGAGGTTGGGTCTCTCATTTCACTAAAAATTCCAAAATGTATTAATGGTACTGTTGTAAGTAGTTCACTGTGTTGAATAAAAGCATACACAAATGCTTTTAGCATAATGCTGGTCAAATTTCACAATTACATCTAAGTTCAAGTTTAATGATGCTTTTACAACTTTAGTTGGTACAATTTTTGAGACTCTTTTAAAAGAAAGTAATACTAGATGCAATTGGCTAAGAGGACTCAGAAGGGGGCTGATTCAGGTGAAGAACCCCAGTGATATTATTCCTCTGAAAAAATCTGTCCCTGAGCAGCACTACATGCATTTTGTTAAAGGAAGGAATGCTGTTAGAAGCCTTAGAAAATCCAATCTCATTTCCTTAAGTTAATGTGATTTTTAAGTCTCTTGTTTTCATTTTTTCAACTATTAAATCTTGTCCCTGGATTTCTAATTTAAGATAGAAAACTCTTCTTCCAGCTTCAAGCATTACTTTAACAAACTATGTCCTAGACATATAATATCCCAGGATAATACCAAATAAGATAAAGATGTTTTATTTATAGAGAAGGTTTGATTTCCATAGCTTTCTGCATTCCCAGGTCAGTGAGTGTAATGTATTCCATATTTTGTTGCTGTTTTTCTGTATTAAACATGTCAACTTTTCACATTGGAGTCATAAAAGTTAGCAGGGTAGTTCTGATGAATAGCAATAAGAACAAAAGAAAGAATAATGCATAACATGAATTCCTCAGGAAATCAATTAATATTTTTATGAACAATCGTAAAAAAAGTACGATCAAGGGTTAGCAGAGAGTAAGGTCAGACTATTTGATCCCAAAATATATTCCTTATTGAATTCAATCAATGTAAAAATATTCTGTGCTGAGTCAAAGCTAAAATCCTGTTGTCTCCAAGAGTAAAACATTTTATAGTCAGAATGTGCAAAACTCTTTATTTGGGTAAGTGAATTTACATAGTTTACATACAAGCTATAAATTTTGCAGTACTTGCAGGTTTCTAATTGACATTTTGCGACTCGCTTGGACATAGTGTTACACTGGTGAATTATGTACTATGTGCTATTAAAGCACTATATAATATGAAAATACTTAAATATTTTAAACAATATTTGTTGAGATAAGGAAAGAAATTCTAATACTTGGGTAAATGATGATCAATATTGGAAAATAAAAGTGACAGGTTACTTACATTTCTCCTACATTGTTAAGAACTACCACATTGAAAAGTTTGTACAAATATTATTTGTATAAGATATCATGCCTGTATCTTGTACTCTGCATAACTACTATGAAGACAACAGTATATAGTGTATTAATTATTAAACTTACCTACTAACCTGCTTTGAAATTCTTTTTAATAGTTTTTTAAATTTTATTCTGTTTAAAATACATTAATGGCAAAAGAAAGAACTGCCATATTGTTCAGATTCATTCATTCATTCATTCATTCATTCACTGAATACTGAACCCCAAATACATGACTTTAGTGATAAGAATGTAGACTCAGGGCAGGAATATAAAGCCACAAAACCAGTATAAGACTTCAACTTGAATCCTAGGATGTGGCACTTTTTTCCAAACGATTCTTAATAATGGGAATAAATTTGCTGTAACCATTGCACATCTGTCCTTGTCTACATGGACTGACATAACCATTTTTATGGAAATCCTTGTCTGTGTGTTAGGCAACGTACATTGCTCATCAGCAACAGGTTAGCCTAATGACACAGTGCACCAAAGTGTCAGGCAATCAATTTCATTTTGTAATTGAAATACTATATGTTTGAACAAGTGTGTCCTGGATTTTAACATCTCCTATTTTAGAGAAACTTGAGTCAATCAAAACATTAGAGCCTGTTTCTTGAGCTATAAAGCAGTAGTCATGGATATACAGAGGGTCATCCACATACCCAGTGGCAGGCAAATGATGAAAAAGATTAGAGCTAATTCCAGACCCAGAGCTCAGTGCAGAGATGTGTTCCAGCTCCAAAAATGTGGCTATGGGAATATTATAGTGCATCCTAAGGCTTTCTTTTTAAATTCTATGACTATCAGGTAATCTAATTTTCAGCATTTTAGACATGAGGACCTTTTCATGACACGAAATATTTCCTGAATAATAATAATAAGATCATAAGAGTTACACTTTTGTATCTGTTGATAGAATTTGAACTAATGGCATCTAACCTAACCTCTTGTTTAGTCAGTATGGACCCCCTTTATACGTGGTACCTCAGTTCAGAAACTTAATTCTTTCCATCACAGATTGAGTTGGATGAGAACTGAGTCAAATTTCCGCATAATGTCAACATTGAATCTGACCAGTGAATTTGACTCAGTTCTCATTTAATTCGGTTTGTCACCTCACTATAATTGTGGAAAGAATTAAACTTGTGAACTGAGGTACCACTATATTCAAATTAAGTTAACATCCTTTTGTGAAAGTTGGGAGTTTAAAAAAAGGGCAATGATGAGGTCAGCTGGTCTCAGCTCAGACCTCAAAGCTATAGGAATAGGAGTTAAGAAAGAGACTAGGGCAGTAAATGCAGAAAGAAAAGGAAAGCATAATGAGAAGTACATCCATTAACTAATCATTTTCCCAACTACTTTAAATTGTAAACTATTTGGCTTAAAATATGTCTGTAAGTTCTGTGATACTCTTTAAGGTAAAGCCTTTCTTCCCTTTGAGAGTAGATTGAAACTAGTACCTTATTTTTCCTGAGTAGAATAAAGTGAAAGTGACAGGTTTGGGAATTAGGTCCTAAAGACACTGTGGCTCCCTCTTTGCTTTCCTTTTGGATAACTTGCTCCAAGAAAAGTTAGCTGATGTCATGGAGACAAACATCATAAAAGAGGACCACCTGGTAATGAGCTGGGCTTCCTGATAACAGCCAAGTAGGAAATGAGGTCTTTTTATTGCTAATAGTCTTGGACTAAGTCATGCTGGAAGTCAAGCTTTCAGGCAGCTATACCTAACCTCCTGGGACATTCTGAACAAAGACCATTTTGTTAAGGCCCTCATGGGCAACTCTTGACCCTTAGAAACTCTGAAAAATAACAAATGCTTACTAAATATTAAAATTTGGGGCTATTTGCTATTCAGCAGTAGATAACTAATACACAAATTAGCAAACACATCTCTCCAAACAACAAAACAGAACAAATCAAAATTAAAACAAGACCTACTACCTAGAATTTCCAAAAAATAAAAGAACATCCTGAAACTAGACATCTGCCATTAGGTAAAATTTTGCCCTAAATTCTCTTAACCCAAAGATACTGAAACAATTAAATTCATTACTAATATAAATTTTTATGACGATGCTTAAATATGTATGCTAATACAATGCCACATTGTGCTATAAAAAGGAAGACAAAGGTCTTCAAAACATAAAATCTCTGAAGTTCTCAAAGCAAAGTGAACAATTGAATGCACAAAATTGGCCAAAGAAAACTGGCCATCTTGTGAAGTATCCAGCTTTAGAGAATGGAACAACAGTAGCAATTAGCAGGAAGAAACATACAACTTAATCATTAATCTAAAACAATCATTGCTTATTTTAACAGAAAACATCTGTCAGCTTTCTGATCTAGAATTTGGCAGCCAGTTTAGGCCACTCACAATCAGAACTGATTACAACTAAGGCTGGAAAGTGTGGTTTGATTTCCATAATTCCCAAATATGGAAAATGTTACTTGAGCTTGCATTCTAACATAATTATGATTATTAATCTAGAGGTATTTCCTTTCTTCAGACATCAGGCATCTCACTATTTTTCAATCTATTGTCTCTAATATATTATACAACCAGAATTTTGTTAGCCATGTTGCATGACATATAGGGAACTTTACTAATGATAAAAGATGTCAACCTGTGCACAGGTAACTTACGGTGCTGTACCAAAAATTAGGCATAGGTTATGACTTGATGGTTAAGTATGTATGTTATCTATGCCCTTCTTCCATAAGTTCCCTATGAAGTTGTAAATTTAAAAGAAACGTTTCTTATCAAAATTCAGTAGCACTTTATAAACACATATGCTTTCTTCCTTAACCAGCCTGCATGAAATTTAATATCAGCATTATTGTCTATCATTATTCAACCTATAATTTAGTAAGCCTTCTGTTGGAGCTGTGCTCCTGCCCCTTTGACCACCAGTGTGCAGATAGAAATTCATTGCCATACCATTCAAGTCATATTCTTTGACCTCATGGAAAAAACACTTACCATGTATCTTAGTCTGCTTTCGTATTAGGCACCATTAGCTTTGCTCAATTCCATTTAAAATTATTCTTATGACAGAATAACATTTCAAAATTTCCAGTTTAATCCCCATCTTATTTCTTGAAATATTTAGGCACACAGGGTCACTAAATCTTCCCTAATGGAGATTTGTTTTCTCCTGTCTACTGCAAGGTAACTCTGTGGAAAGCTCTACACCACCTGAGTACTGTAAGAAAAGTCCAAGTTTCGGGTAGTGGTTCACTATGTCAGAATAAATACTTAGATAAGCAATGAAAACAGATAATTTTAATTCAAATCCTCTGAAAATAAATACATACATTAATTAAGAGATTATTTCTCATGTGTGAGGCTCTATGTAAGAATTTAGCAATCTATTTTGATATATCCATTTAAAAATATTTGAGTTCAAAGAGAAAAAGCAACAACAAAAAAAGAATACTAGCCCATTTGCAAAAGCTATAAATACAGTAGCACGGCCAAGGATGCAGATGGTACTCACCCCACAGCCGAGGTTGTTGATGGCTTCACACGTGATTTTCTTCTGACCCTGCTCAGGTAGCAGCCCTGCTCCGCAGCCAGGGTGAGGGCACAGCACACCGCCCATCTGCAGCACACACTCCTCAGCACCATACCGCTGGTAGCGGTTATACTACAAGAAGGAAAGGCAAGGTGAGCTTGTCAGAGCAATTGTGTACAGACAGGGATGTGCTAGTGCAGCCAAAGGGAACATGGGAGGGAACATGGGAGTTTTGCCTAGTCAGATTTAGTAAAAAATGTGTGGGAGAAGAGGGATGTGGCGGGCAGGTTGTGGTACCACACAGAGAAAGTCTTCTAAATTCAAATACAAAATGGGCAAGTGAAATTCTTTGCATTTTGGCTCTAGAAAATAGATTTCCCAAAATTTGGTTCTCAGTGACACTGTGTCAACTAATTCTATTTAAGCAAACCTAGCTTATATAAATTTTAAGAAATACCATGTATTACATGGTGGAAAATTAAAATAATATTGCTATCAATCTTCTAAAGCAATATGTTTTTATGCCTGTATTTAAGTTTCTATGAAGTTTTATAATCATTAAATAAGTTTTAGCGAGTAGGCCCAGTATTCTGTCTCATAACTGTTGGCAACGGACATGACAGCAACGAGCATATTCAGCTTGAAGGATGGCAGTAATGTTTGAGAGCAGCATTTTCCTTTTATCATTGTTCTTATTTTAAAAGCATAGTTTCCTTTACCTCAACCTCATGTTAACCAAGAAGTTGAGTGATTGCAACCTCCACAAAAACTGCTATTATTTCTGTAACCCTTACTGCTGCCTCAACACACACAGCGCAGAAGCTAGGGCAGGGTCTTTTCCCTTCCTCCAACATGAGAGAGAGCTATGAACTCCCTTGTTGGAGGGAGATGATAGGATGGCCTTTGAAAGTCCAGCCTTGTCATTCCTTTCCCCATTCTTATCCCATGACCTTGGTGCCTTAATTTGGGAGCCCTGAGATGGAGTAGGCCCTTTTGATACCCCAAATACCCCTTGAAATATAATTCAGGAAGGCTGGTTGTTGGGGTTGTTTTGGGAACCCTTTTGGGAGGTGCCAGGAGTGGGTAGGTGGGGAGAGTTGAGGCTCCTTCCTATAACACCACTCTCAGGCCTCCAATATCTTTGAAGTCCATTCCCTAACTTGGGGTGGAGGAGCATTTGGGATCCCTACATTTTGGACCATTTTCATTCATTTTTGAGCTCCAAATCCCCAGTCTAACCTGGAGTTCTTCTTAAGGTCAGAGTGCTTCACTGGCTCACTAGAGTCCAAACATATTCTGACTTCACAACTTTGCTTAGTTCCATTTAGTATTGTCTTTCAACTAGCATCAGAGTCAACCCCAATCCCCATGTTTTCATTTTCAAGGTTGTTTTCATTTCATCCTTAACTTACTCTTCTTCTTACATTTAATTACATTATCCTCTAAACTCATATCCGGTCCAATGGATTTGCTCAGCTATCAACTATTAATTTATGTAACATTTACTGAGAGTCTACTGTGTTCCAGACACTACTGTGGGACAAGATGAAGACAGATCAGTGGATAAAATAATCACTTCTGTCCTCATCCACAGACTACAAACAATGAGTTAGGTAAAAATGTAAAGTGCTTCAAATGGTGATCAGTGAGGAGAATTAATAGAGAGGGAGGAGACAGACTCCAGAGAAGATAGGGATTACAATCTTTTAAAGAGGTGAGGTGCTCCATCTGAGTCAACATTTACAGGAAATTAGAAGGCAAGCTGTGGCAGGAGCATCAACAGAATAAAGGGCCCAGAGGTATAGTGTGCTTAGTTTGTGGTATAGCCAGGAGGCTGGATATACCGAGGCAGAGGGAAGAAGAGTAGGGGGATAACAAAAGGTGAAGGCAGAGCATTCGTGGTGTCCAGGATATCAAGGTTGCTGAAAACTTTGTAAGAATTCTGCTGTAATTCTAAAGATACCATAGTCCCTGCAGAGCTCTGAGGTGAGGAGTGACATGATCCAACTACCATGGTAAAGGTATTCATCTGACCTTTGGTTCAGAGTAGGCTCTGGAGCAGAAACGGGATGCAAGAGGCAGAGACAGAGGAAGGAGTTCATTTCAGCAGGCCATGTAAGCAAGGAGAGTGGCTGGAACAGGGAAGTGGCGCTGGGTGTGAGATCAGGGATGGAATTTGGGATATTTTTTAAAAGTAGAAATTGAAGAACTTTCAGTCATATTCGATGATTGGTGTGAGAGGCAAAGAATCTGAGTACAATATGCTTTCCTGTAAAGATGAGAAGTGAGTGCTGTGGGAGAAGAGAAAGGTGTGTGAGAGAGAGAGAGACAAAGAGACAGAGAGACAGAGAGAGACAGAGAGACAGAGACAGAGAGAGACAGAGACAGAGACAGAGACAGAGAGACAGAGACAGAGAGAGAGAGACAGAGAGAGACAGAGACAGAGAGAGACAGAGACAGAGAGAGACAGAGAGACAGAGAGAGACAGAGACAGAGAGAGACAGAGAGAGTGTGTCAAGGGTGTTTAAAAAAGAGATATTATTTTCATCATACTGGCTTTCAGTTTAGTAGCCTAGTACACAGGGAGTCAAATTGTTGGTGGATCATTGAATGGATGAGTTTGGTGTTCAGAAGAAAGATATAGTTCTAAGAGAAATTTTAAATTCATTAGAGCTCTCCTTTCCCTAAATTGTTTTCACTTTTAGAGTCCCAAGGAAAAAAGATAACTTGGCTGAATCTCTTTGTACACATGCTAATTGTTCCTACATGCAATGACATTCACTATGATATGGTCTAAAACTGCATGCGGTAAATTATAATCTATGGGTTTATGGGTTAGGGCTCCCTGGAAAGTGTTATCGTGCAATTATCAAGGATGCAATAAAGATATTTCATTGAGTAATGAGAAATGAGACAGTTAATATAAGTGAGAAATGACTACATGTTAGTAGTTATTCTGTAATATTTCATAGTCAAATAATAAGAGAATAACAGTAGTTATTACACAGTGTATTGTTATCTTTAAAGTAGTGGCTTGAAGTAGGAAACATAAACCAAAAAGATTTCACAAAAAAGAAGCAAACAGATAACAAAATTTTCTTTTCAGTGAATTAAACTTGAAATATAAATTAAACCAATTAGTATAAACTAAAAGATTTTTTAAGCACTGTAATTTGTATTTTGGGGAAGCATTTGAAATTTCCCCCAAGTCTCTTCTCTCTGTTTCTGACTCTCTGCCTCACTCCCTCTCACCTGCTGGTGTCCTCTCTTTTTGTATGTGAATTTATCTTCTTCTGCTCAGATGACCAAAGAGTTATCTTTTATTCTTCAGGACCCAGGGATTTTATTAGAATGTGTTTTGATGCTGGTTATATTTCACAAGCATTCTATCAGAAAGTTCTGTTGACTTACTTTTTAGTATTTGCTCATGCTTTAATGTTTTTCCTATATGACTTGTAGTTACATATACTGGGTCTTCCTTATGTGTCTTCTAAATCCATCAACTTCTCTCAAATGTCGTTTTAACTTTTTTCCTTTTTAAAAGTTTCTTCCTTTTCACTTCTTAGTTCTCCTAAGATAGTCTTTGTTGTACTTATTTACTGTGTAATTTCTTAACTGTTCACTCTGAAGTAATTATAAGCATTAGTTTTCATCTGTCTGTGGCCCTTCTCTCGTCATCTGCAAAGATGTTACTCTGCTCTTCATTCTCTTGAACCTTTTAATATATTTTCAGGGAATTTAATTTTCTGTTAGAGTTTGTTTCTTTTCTATTACTCCTTTTTACATAAAATTAGTTTTACTGAAATTTTAGAATGGCGGGATTCAGAACAGACTTTATATCTTCAGATTTTCTTCTTTTTTTTAGTGCTTTTGGGCTATGTTGAAAAATGTAAAGCTCATTACTGCAGCCTTCTAATTCTATTATACCAGTTTTACCTGGATTTTCTCCCTTCCTTTTCCTTTTATTATTCTGAACAAATTTCCCTTGTTGTGGGACTTTATCCCGAGAGATATCATTGGATGTCTACATTTTGTGAGTCCATGGAACATGAAATGCTCCAGTCTAAAAAAAGCTTATTGTATGCCCTTTGCCCTCATCCCATATCCTTCTACATATTTGTGTGCCCTGAGCTTGGCCTAATATGTTGTCAATAGGTGTCACACAATAAATAACTGTAGAGTCAGTTAATGAATTCTTTAACACCATTAAATTTCAATTAATTAAAGAATTCTGATAAAATAATGGTAATGGGAACTAACAATAGTGATTTAAGATCAACTAGCTTATATACAGAAATATTTAAAATAAGTTGCTTCAAAAGAACTGATTATTTTTCTCATCATTGAACAACTTATCACCTATTTATCTAATTGACTTATATAAGTTCACTACTGTGACAGTAGGGTAAAATGGCTTTTATTTAGGAAGAAGATTGCCTATTGCCAAAGTTAAGCATCACTTTAGAAATTCTGGATGACTGCATTTATGGTTGTCTCAAACACCAATGGAATGTGTAAAACTTTGCTTTTATTTCTGTTACTTACCTAAATAATTTATAAATAATTGCTATTCTATTTATTCTATTTATAATAAACACAAAATTCTTATTCTGGGGGAAATAGATCTATCAACATATAACACTGATGGTTTCTGATGATTGAAGTGCTCATAATATGTGAAATATGCTTATGGGAAACATAATATTCTTTAACATTGTGAAATTTATAAGAAAAACTTTGATCTACAACTAATAATGTGCTAGTATTTATAGAAAAATGAATACCCTAAGGAAATTTTAGATAACTAATTATTATATGTCATTAACAAAAAAGCTCCATTTAGTTTCTTTCAGGTTGTAACCTGCATTTCCACCCTACTGGCACAAAAATGCAAGTTTATTGAGAGAATTCTGCTATATACTTCACGGAGAGCTGAGACAAATTAGTACTAAGTAGAACAGGATATCTATATTTATCTCAGTATAAAATGTATGCAGTAGTGGCAAAGTAATTGTTACAGCCCACTTAGTAAAAAGAACAAACTATTTCTTTGATATTACTTGCATTATTTCCAGGGCTATTTTTATTTATCAATGTTGAATGGCATTTTATAAAGAGAAATAACTTGGAGG